TTAAAACTATATAATAACTATTCATTAATACGAAAAGGATAACTAATTTATGGTGGTTTAGTGGTTAGAAAACTCATCTTGAAATATCGAGGGACTAAAATTTGAATATTCTCGTACAAGTGCTGATGCATTTGACAAGAAAAAATATTATCATTCCACATGCTCAGATCCCTTTGTTATCAAAAAAAAAAATATACACACATAAAGATTAATGTTTTTTTCAAACAAACATGTTATTAATTTAATACTTATATTCAAATATATCTCAAGTGTTTTTATGAATTTTATTTAATACAGGTACATCCAAGATTATATGGCGACACTTTCACGCGGTTTACAATATATTGGACTGTGAGTAAATTTTCTCAATTATGGTTCTGTATACATGGCAATAAATACAACAGTTCATTTTCATTTTATTGTTAAGAACCGTGACAATAAAATTAAAATCAGACCATTTTTTCCTTTCTTCTTGCATAATATATTTTACCTTTTTAATTCATTAGGCAGATGGCTATAAAAGAACTGGATGCTATAATACAAAATGTCCTGGCTTCATTACTGTTTCTCGAGTTCCCTTGATAGGAACAACGTTTAATGATTCTTCTGTTTATGGTGGTAAAGAAACAGTTTTTACTAAACCGCAAGTTTTTCAGGTAATACTTTATCTACTTTATATTTAATGAGAATACTAGAATTTCTATTTCTTATAATATAGATCATAATTTTAAAATTTTAATTTAGGTTTTGAATTACTTGAATCCATTCTCATTAGAATTTATTGGAGTTTTAAAGATTCCTTCAGTGTTTCTTCTTCAAACCACATATATACTTACAAATTTTTTTATAAATTTTTTACGTTTTTATTTTATTATCTATTTTAATATTATTCAGGATGGTTTCAGTGGAAATTGGGTACTAAAATTAAATGACCAAGTTATTGGTTACTGGCCTAAAGAGTTATTTACTCACTTAAATAAAGGAGTTTCTTTGGTACGTTTTGGAGGAAATACATTTCCATCTCCGGAGGGAATTAGTCCTCCAATGGGAAATGGCCATTTTCCAGTTATCGACTATCATAAAAGTTCACATTTTTCATTTGTCAAAGTTAAGAATTCGAACTATCAAAGCATCGATATTGAAGATAAGAAAACAAGACTTTATGCAGATTCTTACCAATGTTATAGACTAACGTATTGGGGTTATAGCAAGTCGAATGGGGTATCCTTCTCCTTTGGAGGACCAGGTGGAAATTGTGGTACTTAATGAATCAAATATGTATCAACCAAAACTATATCAAATTTGCAAGAGAAATAAAAATTGACTAAACTATATCCATGTTGTGTATTTTAAGATATGCGCAATTGCTCATCTTCCTTCTTCTTCTCTCTTCCCATCCTCAATGCTCGACTGGTGAAACCCAATTCAGAAACTTGTCGATGGAGGCTCAAACGGATTCAGCATTCGATCCTCAATTGCTCTTGGAGAAGTCACGTCTCATCAATCCATAAAATTGATATTTTATCATCATCAAAATCAGGAGCTCAGTGTTATTTTGATTCGAAAGACTCTGCCTTTCCTCATCGACATTATAAACTACGGAATGAATCAAATTTACCTCAATTTCCTATCATCAACCAAGAGAATCAATCTAATGTAGCAATGTTCCAATCAATCTTAGAGATATAACGAACTCACAGTTGCGACGACATTGATCTGATGAGATGATTGCGACTCATCGACATCTGGACCTCCGGTAATTGGAGGAACGTCACCATCTCCGATATGATTTTCATCGGCGGAAGCTAAAGCGTCGTCTTCCATACCTACCTGATCCAGCTTCCAAACGTATCAGTTTTTGGATTAAAAACAAAACCAAAAAAAATCCAAACTTTATCTCATCCAAACTAGCAAAATCGCTGACAACGAAGTCAGATCTGAATGATTTGAGGAATAACAAGAAATTAAATTGGAAGGCGAAAAAGAGAAATGCGTGATTGGTAAGCTCACTTTGCGATGGTGAAAGAGGTCGCCGAACGGGAAACGTTTAGTCCTTTCTTTTAGTCGGACGTCTTACCAGCGAACCATTTCACTAAGAGAGTCTCCTTTTCTTTTGTTTTGTTCTTTCTCTCAATATAATGAGACTTTAAGAAAAAAAACCATCTTTCCCTTGTCCACGTAGAGTTGAATTCGCCGGGTTCTTTAGATATCTGCAATTGCACACCTTTCCAACGTTTCGCCGGCACTACTCTGTAACCTACCTAAACAAAAGATGAGAACTCAAATCTTCTAAAAGGTTGAGTCGCAGCTGACGAAAAAAAAAAGAAAGGTTTGAGTCGCAGCAGCGACGTGGAAAAGAACAACAGGGCAGGTTCTTCAAAAAATCTCAAAGCTTTCTTCTTCCTCTCTAAGACACCTTTACGTTTTTGTCATGGATTCAGTGACACCTAAGGACAAATCAACTGACCTGAACAGAACACTGGTGTTGTTTGGTTGGGCTACTCTGGCTATAGCCTGTAGCTTAGTTTTAGGTTTTCTCTTATACTATATTGTCACTAGTTTTATAGCTTACTATAATTATCTAGTTGAGCAGAGTTTACCCACCAACATTCCAGATGTTGGTACTGCTGATCAGACACAGACTG